TTTTGTATATTGTATTATAATAATATAAGTTAATAACTTTGCTTGTTTGTTAATGCACAATTTGATCATTCCTTATTTATACTTACATATACACGAAGTATATATAAGTTTAAATTATAAATAATTGATATTAAGAAATACATATTATATTAATATGAATCTTGACAAGAACTTAATAAATTACATGATTATGATTTTCCTATACAAACACAAATTAGAGATCGAAAGATGTGAATGGTGCGTGCTATACTGAAGTAAATATAGTGCAACTAAAATAATTTTTAAAAGTAGCATTAAAAAAATTAATTAAACAAAGTATATATTTTTGTACATTTGTTATTTATTTGGGATTCCAAACTTACCCCCAACTCATTTATGAAACAAAGGGTATCCGTTATTTATCAATATCTCACTTAGCAAATCAAAATTAATAAATGTCATGTTTAAAACAATCTATAGCTATACGAGTCTAACTCAAAAATTCACTAATGCGGAAGAAAGTGATGGGCAATATATGCAGAATACTCGATTTGATCTCTATCATGATGTTCAAGCAAGCACTATATATTCAGGTGCAATTTTTTTGAAGATTTATTTCTAAAAATGCATGCATTCATGCACAATGAGTGTGAGAGATATATAAGAGTAGAAATTGCTTACGAAATGAGGTGATGAGGATGAAGAAGAGAGGGAAGCAATTGCCATTGTCATTATTGCCATTTTTGTTTGTTGTTTCAAAGCAAAAACTAGCTAAATTGCTTCTCTCTCTGTTTCTTTCACAATTGCTCTTTATTTGTTAGCTTATTATGAGAAGGGAAAGAGGGTCAAATTTATACACAAACTAGAACACAAGCAAATACTATATTGTTAAAGAATTATTTGATTATTATATTGCCTACACATATTCATGTACATACTTTATTGTCTACATGCATCATGTTGTAGTAAATATTGATGATATTATTGGCTCCTAGAAAAATGAGAATAGCGTATAGTACCTGTCACTAGTCGATCTGTTTCATATTTATGTTGTCTGATCTACTTGAGGATTGAAATCAACAATATTAAATTGGTTGTTAAATTTATTGCTCGTACTAAATATGTTATTTTATTAGTATTTGTCGCATTTATTATTTAAAATTATAAGAACGCTTTTATTTTTATACGAAGATAAATTTAACATGATTTCGATCACGTCACTATAATTATGTTTTATTCATCTATTCTGATTTAACTTAATTTTTCAGCTCTGATCTGATTTGGTTTTTACATGCATTTGCAAAATTTTTAACTTATTTATAAACTAATTCTTAAGATAAAAAATTATTTTATACTTGTATAAGATACCATAAGATTCGTATTAATGTGTACTTTCTAAATTGGACATTTTCATAATTTTCTAAACTACGGAATTAACATATTGAATGATAAGTAAACGCTAATTGAACCTATACCAAAGGTTTAGAAAATCTCTGTTCTATCCATTAGATTGTGGATGATTTTGATTACGGTTTTTTAGCATTATTTGCTTTAGCATATTTTTTGTTTTGAAAAACTTATGTAAGACGAGACAAGTTTTTGAATTGTTGTATTTAGCTCCATGATGCATTAATTAATACATAAAAGGGCAGGTAGCGGGAATCACACCACATCTATCATTAGCTCGGAAGGCTAGGGTTTATTGTCAATGTTGATTTCTTCCTTTTAACGTCTCTAATTCAAAATCGAATATAAAACATTTGGTTTCATTTGGCTCCTTAAATTATAGAAAATGGAGGATTCATAAATATTAAGTTAAGGTGGGAGAATGAAATTATAATACAAAAGAGAATTAATTTCACCCATAACAACTATGCCAACTTTTGGTATGAATGCAGTTAATTCAAAACAACTCTTTCTAGATGATCCCTCTAGGAAAAGTGATTCTACCAATCTTTCTAGTTACTTTGTTCTCAATTTCTAGCTAAGAGAATCCTGAAAGGAAAGTATTATACCTCCGTTTCTTGTTATTTGCAACAAAAGGGTATTATTTGTAAGACATAAAAAAAAAAAATAAATAAATAAATAAAACTTGGAGGTAGTATTTTCTTTTCTTAGCTTCCAGCTAAAACAAAAACGCATATGTTGATTTAAGCCTCCAACAAACTAAAGTCATCATTTTTGTATTGGCCTAGCTAGTCTACTAAACTTTTTATATCAATAAGTTTACCCATAGTCAAATTAATGTTTTTAAGTTTGACCACATGCATAGCAAATGATACAAACTAAATAACACTTCCTCTTCCTTATAACACTTCTCATTTCACACTTGTTAATGTATGATTTCAATCACTAATATCTTTGATTTCCAATAAGTAAAATTACAAAATTTGATATTATAAAAGTATAAATCGAGCTGAATATAACAAGACTCCACATGACTAAATTTTTCCTAACTATAATTCACCGAAAATAGTCAAGGTGGAGTTTATATAAGTAGTGTATATATAACTCCAAAGTGTTGCAAGTAATTAGATATGTTATTTTTCCTAACTCAAAGTGTTGCAAGTAATTAGCTAGATATGTTATTTTTCCTAACTCAAAGTGTTGCAAGTAATTAGATATGTGATTTTTCATAACTCAAAGTGTTGCAAGTAATTAGATTTGTTATTTTTCCTAACTCAAAAAGTGTTGCAAGTGTGGCAAGTAATTATTTATTTTTCCTAACTTCATTTTTATTTTTATTTTTCTCAAAATGATGATTGGTATGTATATGTAGTTTGGTGCTCTAATTTCTTTATTTCATAATACAATGAAATAATAAAAATTGAGAATAATCTAACAACACTTCATGACATACATTTTTTATCATCTTAACAAGTCACTTATTTCCTAACAAATATACCCCTTTTTATTTTTTATTTATTTTTTTTGACACAACAAATATAGCTTTTCACACTCTTACTCTATTTAATTTTTTTCTTCCATTATTTACACATCTTTATACACTCTCTTACTTTAATATTTTTTTATTTTTTAAAACGTAAGTTAAAAAGAATAAATTAAAAAATCTTATTCCACTAGAAGTTTAATAAAAAAAAAAGCTGCCAATCAATGATGCATTTTCCAGTTGTCGCATACTTAATTGTGTTGCAAAGTCGTGTTGCTCGTTCCCAAATCTTTGAAATGATCGAATCACATAACGTTTAAAGTATTGCGTTGGTAGCCCTCCCAATTTGATTTTGTTGTCCTACCAATTTGCAATAAGCCTAATTACTATTGCACCTTAGACTAAATGATATTATATGCTCCCTCCACATAAATTTATTGCACCTTTGACTTTTTCAAGATGGAGGGAGTAGAAATCATGGCGGATCCAGGATTTACATAATGGGGGTACAAAGTTAAGTTTGATTAAAAAAAAAATACAAAATAATATGTGGAGCGTAATATTTTTTATTTTTCCAACTAAATTTTGAGTTATTAATTCATTTCACTATTGTATTAGTATATACGGGTACGATACACTCATTCTTTGACACAAGGCTTATAAATGAGTAACTAAGTATATATGTGTATGGGTAGGAAAAAAAAAAAAAAAGAATTATCTAATAGACTTTTTATTTGTGACAACATGCTCTTTGATCGAAAAGTACTAATCTGGTATGGAAAAACTTAAAAATAACACCCAAGAGACCAGTTTTTTAAATAAGGGCTGGTTCGTGGCTTGAGTTATCTACATAACAGTACTTAAGAGAGCGGGTATAAGATGCAACCAGTCTCTTTATTATCCGTTTTTTTAATTTTTAATTTTTTAGGCGGAATAGGGGTACATTTGTACCTCTGTGTACCCCCTAGATCCGCCAATGGTAGATACGGTTTTGAACATTAAAATTTATTGATTTGAGATGGAGAGAGTAGAAACGGTTTTGAACATTAGACCACTATCAGCAGTGAGGAGAAAATAAACCCCTCAATCTCTCTCTACCCACTTTCTCACTCTTCCCATCTAATTCCTCTCATGAGAGGTTTATTTTTTACTACACCAATGCTAAAAAAAAAAAACCCTCATCACTTTATCCTCCACTATTTACTATACCCCACCATAATACACATCACCATTTTTTTAACTCTTTTTTTTTAATAATGTTTATACTATATTTAACTTTTCAATACAATTAAAAATATATTTTATTTTATTTTTACAATTACGTTTTAATTATAATGTAATAATTTTTTTTTTAAATTTCTTTTTATTCTATTAATTACGGTTAAAATTTCTGATATACCATTTATAATGTAATTTTTTATTTAACGTTTTAATTAGAATATAAAAACTAAAGCAAATAACAGCAATTATAGATTCTACGAAAGATGTTTTTTTTTAACTTAAACGATTAATTAGAAGCACATTTTTGAAATGAACACATAAACGGCAATACAAATACATCGGATATTAAAAAACAGTACGGTTACGAACTTAAAAAAAACGGTTTGGCCTGAAGTAATACACGAACACGGGTATTAAAACCTAAAAACGATACGATTACAAACTACAAATTTGCTTATTCGGCCGTGTTATGACGAAAGTTCTGCCATATGTGCTCTACTAAATCTTGTTTGAGAGACGAATGAATTTCTCTATCACGAAGTGCAATCCTCCTTTGAAAGTACGCGTTGAAATCAATGTTGGGTGGCCGCCCGACGTTGAATTCAAATGGCTCGTTGTTATTCACCGTGGCACTTGTGCTCGGTCCCGGCCGCGCTGCTGTACGTTGTGGTCCATCTTCTTCGTAGTATCGTCTTAAAACATCTACACGGGTGTAGTTGTGTCGTTCATCCTCGACGATCATGTTGTGCATTATTATACAGGCTTTGATAATGTCACAAAGAATATCTTCGTCGTATGCAAGTGCTGGTTGTCGGAGTATAGAAAATCTGGCTTGTAAAACTTCGAAAGCCCGTTCAACGTCTTTTCGAACTGCTGCTTGTTGATCAGCAAACAACTTGTCTTTTTGAACTTAAGGATGTGTTATACCATGTATAAAAGTTGGCCATCTCGGGTAAATCCCATCTGCCAAGTAGTAGGCCAACTTATATTGATGTCCGTTAACCCAAAAATTTATTGGTGGTGCACGACCTTGTAAAACATCATCAAACACCGGTGAACGGTAAAGGACATTAAGATCATTACATGAGCCAGACATTCCAAAGAACGCATGCCAAATCCATAAATCTTGATCAGCAACGGCTTCAAGAATGAGGGTTGCAGTTTTGCTACGACTAGCATATTGTGCTTTCCAAGCCGTAGGACAATTCTTCCACTCCCAATGCATGCAATCTATACTACCAACCATGCCTGGAAACCCACGCAATTCATTTTGGTGAAGGATTTTCCTTAGATCTTCAGCTGTAGGTTTACGTAGATAGTCACTTTCAAAATGTGTAATAACCCCCTGACAGAAATGTTGCAATGCATTCTTTGAGGTTGTTTGACCTATACGAAGATATTCATCCACGACATCAGGGGCTACGCTATACGCTAACATTCTTATTGCAGCGGTGCATTTCTGCAACGGTGATAAACCAAGCTTTCCAGCTGCATTCCGACGTTGTTGGAAGAATTGATCCCCTTCAACCACCTTATTCATAATGCGACAGAACAAAGATCTTTGCATACGAAATCTACGGCGGAATTGGTTGTCGTTATACACTGCGTTACTCGCAAAATAATCGTTATATAGTTGCACATGCCCTTTTTCTCTTTCCCTATCCCTTTTAGGCTCCGGGACATTTTCTATATCATTATTAAGTTGGAATTCTTGTGGTGAGTCTTGGGGAATTAAAATATGTTGTAGGTGGTTAGCAGCATAATCATCAACTAACCGATCAAATTCAACGTTATTTGAGAAATCAGAAGAACTAGAGCTTGAGGTGGAGGAAATGAAAGACATGTTTTGGCTATGGTATAATAGTTGGTTTGTTTGGGATTCTGTCCGTTTAGAATAACACATGCATGTATATATAGTCCAAGTGACTATCAATGCATGTGATTTGCTCTGATTTTGCATGTGAGTAACTCTGAATTGAAATCCATGTATCATTGCAATATCTGCAATGAAATTGAGGTGTCATGCATGTATATAAAGTCCACATGACACTTCAATGCAATCTCTGCAATGAAATTGATGTGTCATTGCACTCTGAATTGCAATTGAAATATTGATGCATGTTGATTAGGGGATTTTGCTCCCACCAATCGAAATGCGCCACGTGGGCCAATCAGGTCCTGCCAAGTGTCCCCTAGTTGGAACTGTCAGGGCTTGCCACGTGGCACACGCTTATTCGTCCACCTTGGACCTATTATGTCATGACACATGGCATACTCCATGCCTAATGGAGAAACCGGCCACCTAGGCCCAACTTCCGAGGGAAGCCCAATCAGCCCTAGGTTAACCTAAACCTAGGATTGGCACGTTTCCCAAGGTTATAAATACCTCCCTTAATCCTCATTAAGGGGGGATTACAGAAATAACAGGTTGATCACGCTAACAAAGCAGATTACCTACATTAAACACTCTCACCTAGAGAGACCCAATCACTTTAATTTCCGCATTAATTACTCCTTAATCAAGTACTAACTTGACCGTTGGAGGCGGAGCTCCCACCACCAGGAGTCTCCGTTGTTTTGCAGGTATAGGCGTCCGGTTCCAGTCTCGGAATTGTAACTCTCCCGCAGGACATCAGAAAACCCCGAAACATTTGGCGCCGTCTGTGGGGAGAGTACTTCTGAGATGGCATCCAAGTCTGTACCGACTCCTGAAGAGAGGCGTCCCCTAGACGACCCTCAAGTTCAGTCGGACCACGATACTGAGGATGAATTTGAAGTTGAAGCTCACACAGCTTCAGACGGGACCCTAAGGGCCCGACGTACCCGTCATACCGAAAGGAGGGAACGGGAACATCTTCATACTGGAAGCGAGCCAGGCGCACCGCCTGTTCGGCAACAGCCGACTGATGGGTCTGCTCCCATCACAAGGAGTGAACTCATGACCTTCATGAGGGACTTCAAGCGAGAAATTCAAGAGTTGATCAACAAGAAGCCGCCTGCTCTGGACAAGGAGCAGTCGGCTAAGAAACCTTCCACTTCACTGAAGAGGAAGTCAGTTCAAGGGCGAGAGGCGACTCCTCATCCTAAATCTAGGAAGCGGGAGCCGACTGCCCTTGATTTCACAAAATACCGTTTTCCTACTCCAGGAAATAGGAAACCTGTTCGTCATATTCAGGCGGACGGGTCGAGGAAATCATACACAGACGCTCGGCTACTGCTAGAGCAGAAGAAGAGTGACCGATTGTCAGAGTCGGCCTCTACTTCAAACTTCCAAGACAGTCTGCGAAATACCTCAATGAGGCATACGCAGTCGTATCATGAGAGTCAGTCAGGCGGCACCTCCCGTCAGTCCGGCTTTCATAGCGACCAGGCGTTACCAAACTTACCGTTTGTGCCGCAACAACAATATTTTTTACAGCCACCTTCGTTTGGTGGACATACAGCAAAAAACGTCCAACCTATGGACTGGCAGCTACGGTTGCTTAGACTTGGTGAACAGCCGTCGTCCTTCTCCAAGGAAATTACTGAAGCCGCTCAGCCGGCCAAAGTGAAAAATGTATTAGTAGGCGCCTATGACGGCACTACTAACCCAGAAGACCATCTTATGGCCTTCACCAACCTGATGTACCTTCAAGGGTTGGATGATCCCACTTGGTGCAAGTGTTTCCCAGCGACTCTCAAAGGAATCGCACAACAATGGTTCGGCAACCTGCCGACTGGTTGTGTAAATAGCTTCAGGACGCTTGCTTACTTATTCACCTCCAACTTCGCCATGAACATCCCTGCGAAGAAGACGACCCTTGATTTAGGAACAATTCAACAAGGCGAGAAGGAGGGGCTTCGTTCTTACATCAGGCGGTTTAACCTGATGAGAATACAGATTCAAGGTTTACCGGATGAGGTAGCCTATACTGACTTTTTCAGAGGTCTCAAGGACGGGTCGACCTTCAAATTTGATTTGGTCCGAAAGAGGGTGGCGACTCTTCAAGAGGCCTTGATTGAAGCGGAAGCCTATATACAGGCGACTGATCTTTGTACGGTAAAACAGTCGGACGAGAAAAGGTTCGACAAAAGAGAAGGACGACAGAAACAGTCGTCAAACAAAGATGAGAAGAGAAAAGAGGTCTGGGCGGCTGATTCCTCTAAACAGCCGGCCCAGAAAAAGAAAAAAGAATTCAAACCATACTCCCCAAAGTATGCGTTTAACAAGGATAGCCAGTTTATCCTAAAAGAAATCAAGGGACGGATCTCAATTGAGAAGCCGGTCCCCATGAAGGGTTCTGCAAACAAACGGAACCAAGATAAATTCTGTGCTTATCATGAAGATGTTGGTCATCACACCAATGACTGCATCAGTCTCATGCGGTATCTGGACCGCCTGGCTGAGCAAGGTGATCTTGACACTTATGTCAAGAAATCTACGGGGAACACTTCCTCAAAAAAGCAGTCGGCCAAAAAGAATCAACAGGCCGACAGCTCCGATACAGATGATGCAGTCGTCTACACCATTGCAGGCGGCTTCTCAGGAGGCGGCCCCACTATTAGGGGCAACAAAGACAATATCAGACGGTTAGATGTAAATTCCGTTCACCAAGAACGACCCTGCAAATATTCATTTCCTGAGATTGTCATCACTGAAGAAGATCTAGGAGGGGTAAGAGGGCCGCATGACGACCCTATCGTTATTGAATGTAAAGTGGCCAACCAGAGAGTTGGCCGAATCCTCATAGATACCGGAAGCTCCTCAGATCTCATCAGTAGCAAATATCTGTCGAAACTAAAATATCAGACTGATTGCATACATCCGGCATCCCACCCTTTAGTAGGGTTTGGCGGATGAGTCGTCCACCCACTGGGACGAGTGGACTTACCCATCCGCCTGGGCGAAAAAGGGGAAGGACGACACATGGTAGTCCGGTTCCTGGTAGTAGAAGAACTCTCGGCCTACAACATGATTCTGGGACGACCAACCCTGAATAATTCCAAGGCTGTTATACTCCCATCTCTTATGTTGCTCAAGTTTGAGAGGGATAATGGAACAGTCGGCTCCCTAAGGGGAGATCAGAGGATGGCCCGAGAGTGCTATCTCTCGGATGTCAAGCCCACTGTTATGGCCACTGGGTCGACTGGTGGAAAAACAGACCTTGAAAAAGTCAAGGAGAGTGCGCCTGTTCAAGAAGCAGGCGGCAAGAAGAGAAAGGCATCCCAGACAGGGGCCGCAAGAAAAGACAAAAAATAGCAATCATTGGCAGAGGAGCGGTCGGATGAATTCCGCCCTCAGTCGGCTGGTGAGCATACGGACTTGATCTTAGACGACTCACGTCCTGAGCGAACAGTCAAAGTTGGGACGACTGCTCTGAGAGACCTTGGTGACGACTTTCACAAACTATTGAAAGAATACAAGGACATCTTTGCATTCGAAGTCCATGAAATGCCAGACATTAGTCCTGATCTGGCGGTACATAAACTGGCCGTGGATCCAAAAAAGAAGCCGGTACGGCAGAAGAAACGGAACCATGGCGAAGAAAGAAGTCAGGCGGCAGCCGCCGAAGTTAAAAAATTACTTGACGCAGGGTTCATTCGGCAATGTTACTTCCCAGACCGGGTTGCAAATGTGGTGCTTGTTAAAAAGCCGAATGGCACCTGGCGAATGTGTGTAGACTACACAGACTTAAACAAGGCGTGCCCCAAAGACAGTTACCCTCTGCCTAAAATTGATAACCTGGTCGACTCAACAGCCGGCCATGCTTTGATGAGCTTTATGGACGCCTACTCTGGTTTCCATCAAATTCCTTTATGGAAGAAAGATCAGGAGAAGACGGCCTTTGTCACTGATCAGGGGTTATACTGTTACACGGTCATGCCGTTTGGTCTTAAGAATGCCCCGGCCACTTTCCAGCGAATGATAAACACTGTGTTCTTTGATCAAATTGGGAGAAATGTCGAGGCATATATTGATGATATGATTGTCAAGTCTAAACTTCAGAAAGATCATCTGTCGGACCTCCGAGAAACTTTCGCCACACTCAGGCGGCACCATGTCATGCTCAATCCCAAGAAATGTGTCTTTGGAGTTGAGTCTGGGAAATTTCTTGGATTCCTTATCAATCAGAGAGGAATAGAGGCGAACCCTGAGAAGGTGCAGGCGGTCATTGACATGCAGTCGCCTCGTACCATCCGAGAGGTTCAGAAGTTAACAGGATGTCTGGCGGCCTTGGGAAGATTTCTAAGCCGACCAGGCGACAAATGCTTATACTTTTTCTAGGCAATTAAGAAAAAGGCAAGGTTTGAATGGGGGCCGGATGCTGAGGCCGCCTTCCAGAAATTGAAAGTTCACTTGCATTCCTTGCCGAGGCTGGTCAGCCCTTTGCCCAAAGAAGTACTCTACATGTACCTGGCCGTCTCTAATCATGCGTTAAGCGCTGTTCTCCTTGCTGAAAGAGACGGCTGTCAGCTCCCGGTCTACTTTGTCAGTCACGTACTGAAAAAGGCCGAGTTGAGGTATCCCTTAGTGGAGAAATTTGGTCTTGCACTCTTCATGGCTGTTAAAAAATTGAAGCCCTACTTTTTGGCACATGCAGTCGTCGTGTATACAGACCAACCTATCAAGCGGCCACTGACCACCATGGAGTCGTCAGGCCGAATGATCAAATGGGCCATAGAAATACAGAGCCTCGAAGTTACTTTCGAGCCTAGAAAAGCAGTGAAGGGGCAAGCCTTTGCTGACTTTATTGTTGAGATGACTCGTCCTCCTGACTCTCAAGTTCCAGACCAAGTCTGGAAGGTATATGTGGACGGAAGCTCTACTTCAAATGGCTGTGGAGCAGGCGTCATATGTCAGTC